TTTCCCATGTCCCCCTGGTTCTTTTCTGTTTCTTAAAAAATAATTCTTTAAAATTTTATTTTGAAAAAAAAATTGAAGAGTGTTAATATCATCTCAGATACATTTTTGTCTTTAATCAATACTTCATGTTAATCGTGCAGAATATGTATGTACTAATTATTATATTATTGAATAACCAGGATATCAATATTCTATAGGTTGCAAATTTTTACTGAACCCCAGTAGTTTTTGCAGCTTCCTACATCAAATTTATTTACCATCACAGAATACAAATTTACACTACTATTCTATAATACAGACTGATGTCTTCTTCACTTTCACTAAATAAGGTCTGGCCTCTGCCTATAGTCTATGGTTAGTCTTTCTCCGATTCTGGTGCCATGTTATTTTTCATACAGTCCAACTTCTCAGACTATCTGCTCAGAATCGATTACCTGCATCAGCCTAAGGCTGACTAACACAAGCAGAGGTCAGGCTTGCCTCCACCCTCCATCCTTCTTTGCTTTCTACTTGAGCCCTTGGTATCAGCTCATTTTTCCCCTCCCTCCCTGTTCGCCCCTCCCCTATAAACCCTTGATAATTTATAAATTATTATTTTGTCATATCTTACACTATCCAACATCTCCCTTCACCCACTTTTCTGTTGTTCATCCCCCAGGAAGAAGGTTATATGTAGATCCTTGTGATAGGTTCCCCATTGCTACCCCACCTTCCCTCCACCCTCCCAGTATCGCCACTCTCAGCACTGGTCCTGAAGGGATCATCTGTCCTGGATTCCCTGTTTCCAATTCGTATGTGTACCAGTGTACATCCTCTGGTCTCGCCAGATTTGTGAGGAAGAATTGGGATCATGATAGTGGCTTGGGGTGGGGGGAAACTGGAGAAAAGTTGTATGTTTCATCATTGCTACGCAGTACGCTGACTGGCTTATCTCCCCCCCACGACCCTTCCATAAGGGGATGTCCTGTTTCCTACAGATGGGGTTTGGGTCCCCAATGTGCACTCCCCGTCATTCACAATATTATTTTTTGTTCTTTGATGCCTGATACCTCATCCCTTCAACACCTCATGATCACACAGGCTGGTGTGCTTCTTCTATGTGGGCTTTGTTGCTTCTCAGCTGGATGGCTGCTTGTTTACCTTCAAGCCTTTAAGACCCCAGACGAAGGTGAGCATCATGGAACGCCAGTTTAATAGAACAGTGTTCTTGCATTGAGGTGAGTGGAGGCTCGATGTCCATCTGCTACCTAAATATTAAACCTTTAAATATATGCACATGGATCTATTTCTCCATCATCATATAAGTGTATTTACGTATGTACATGCCTGTATTTAGACCTCTATAAATGCCCTTTACCTCCTAGTTCTTTCCTCTTGTTCCACTATCATGCTCAGCCTTCATTTGGGTTCAGTAATTCCTCTTGATTACATTGCCCTTGATAAAGCCCTATCAGGCCTCTTACCAAGCCCTACCAGAGGCCCTTGTCGCCACTGATTTTGGATCACTTTTTGTTCCCTTGTCCCTGGATTTGTTAACACCACTTCCTTTCCCCCATGTGCCCCTCTTCCATGCCCCCCACCCCCACCCCGGAACTGTTGGTCCCGTTGTTGTTGTTTTCTCCTCCGGGTTGTTTATCCAGCCTATCTTATCTAGATAGACCTGCAGAGATAATAATATAAAAAAAAAAGAGAGAGAGAGAGAGAGAAAAACAAAAGAAAACAACAACAAAAAACCAATGACAAAAGAAAGTCAATACATGGCTTCTTCTTTGGATGATGAAAATATTAGATAGTGGTGTTGACTGAACAATTCCATGAGTAAACTAAAAACCACCGAATTATATACACTTTAAATAGGTGAATTGAATAATACAGTGTTCCTCAAAGGGAGTGATACCAGCCGCTGGGGGTGTTCGAATGATCAGGGGGCTGCAAAGCAGGTATCTAGACTGTATCCTGAATTCTGGAGTACAGTACAAAATGTTTAGATTGCTTCTTATCAACATGTTTAGGTTTGAAAGGCCAGGGCATTATGCAAAATCTGCTAATTTTTTCTTCTGAAAGAGGAACAGCAGAACAAATATGTTTAGGGACCTATGGAATACAGTAGGTGAATTATGCTTCAATGAAGCATTAACAAAAAAATTAAAATGGGGGGCGTATATACTGATGAGTGAAGTCTGTTATTTCTGCTTATTCTCTTTATTGAAATACCTTATCAGTCTCTACCAATGCTAAAAAACACTAAATGTGAGGCGAAAACTCTTCTAAAAGCTCAACTTACAATTATCCATGTGCTGATTTCTATTGAACATTATCAGTGATCTTGGTTACCACTGAACATAAGTTTTGTTTTGAGCCTTTCCTCAGCTAAAAATAAAAACTACCATATCATAAGGACCATCAGGTAACATAAAAGACTAAACAAACAAAAATTAGTTGTGACTCTAATAATGTTCTAGGGAATCTTTTTATATTATTTTATAAAGTGATCTCAACAGAGATACCTTATAAAAAGGAATACTAGAAGATGTTACTGTTAGTCATTAATGGATGGATAGACCGTAAATTTATAAAGTGTCTTTTTTTTTTATTGTGGACGACCTTAACAACGGAACAGCTTAAAAAGAGGTCACTCTTAAATAATGGCACACATATCAGAAGATTGGTAATGTTGATAAAATGCATGTCTATGAAAAATTTTTGAATTAAAACAAATAAATTTATGCCATTTTGTATAGATTTAAATTATAGCCATTCAGGAAGTATTAATAGCATGATTGGATGGAGGCTCACCATAAGATATTGCATTGGATAGTCTTAAATTAAGCAACTGTTTCTCATGGGATGCACTGTTTTCCTGGTTAGCTTGTTCATCCAGTGATTCTCTTACACAGTCCTTTAATTCTTCAATTCCTTCTCCAGTAATTGCAGAGACTGGAATGATATGTTGGAATTTCAGAGTTTTCTGTGGAATCATGTTTTTATCAAACAAGTGCTGAAAATCTGAAACAAAGACACAAAGCTAATTTTCATTGTTTTTCAAAGTGAAAAGGTATGTTAAAATTTTATTTTTGAACTAGGCAACCTGAAACACTATTTTTAATTCCGTTTTCCTTCTCTGATAAACTCTCAGAACCTTTGGTTAGTGACCCAGGAAAGGTTCTTGGTACATGAGCTACCACTACTACCTGCTGTTGTCAAATTGATTATGATGCATGGTGATCGCTTGTGCAGCAGAGTAGAACTGTGCACCACAGGCTTTCAGTGGCTGATTGTTCAGAAGTAGATCACCAGGCCTTTATTCTGAGATGGCTCTGGATGGCCTTGAAACGTCAACCTTTCAGCCAGCAGTTGAGTGTATTAACTGGTTGTACCATCTAGAGATACATGGAAGTAGAGCTAGAATGTTCTTTAGGAGGTAGAATGGCGAGACTTCGTCTCCAGTACTTTGGACATGTTATCAGGAGAGACTAGTCCCTGAAAAAGGTTGATAAAGTGGAGGGTCAGTGAAAAAGAGGAAGAATCTTGACAAGATGGATTGTCACAGTGGTCACAACAATGAACGCAACCTTAGGAACATCTCGGAGGATAGTGCAGGAAAAGGCAGTGCTGTGTTCTACAGAGTCGCTATGTGTCAAAACTTAGTAGCATATAATGACAACAACAAATAACAATATGAGAACCAGAAGGAGCCTTGGTGGCAAGGTGGTTAAGCATTTGGCTGTTCACCAAAAGGTTGCTAGTTCAAACCATCAGCTGCACTGTGGGAGAAAGATGTTGGTTGCCGTAAAGATTTAAAACCTTGAAATTTCTATGGGGTAGTTTTACCCTGTCCTATAGGAAAACTATTATAGAATGGACAAGACGGCAAATAGCAAAAATGAGAGGAATGAAAAATCCTATAACTTGTGAAATATGGCAGTTACACTGGGGTCCAGTTTAACTTCTTTATGAATGAAGGCTAAGGGTTTTAATTAGCTCATATTAATCTTTCTTTTATCTTATTTCTTCTAACTTCTCACAGCACACATTCTGGAATTCCTTCCTCCCCATCGCCCCCTATTCTGGAATTTGATAATAATTACCTTATAATTGTGCTTAAGTGTTTCCTATGGTTTATGTTCTCTCTTCAAATATCATGTTTTTAAAGAGAGCTGAGTCATTTAGTTTCTCTTTTCCTCGGGTGCAGCCCTCAGCTGGTCCTCCATACAGGAGATAAGCGCGGAATATGCGGGGCGTGAACGAACAGGCTTACCTTCAGGGTTCTGAAGTTGGTGCATCAGTTCCTGGAATTTATCTCGGGCACCTGGCACATCCATTTTATTAACTGCCAGTAGTGCAGGTTTTGTTTGAAGTTCCTCATCATACAATTCCAACTCCTTTAAACCACAGGAGAAAATCTGCATCATTTTATAAAATTAGCATCCTTTTTCCTTATCTGATAGTGGCTTTCTTTAGAAGTCCACAACATTTACATAATCTCACATGTCTGAAACCATTAACTCCAACAGCCACACAATTGATAATGGGATGAAATTCAGAAAATGCTTACCAGTTAGAATGTATATTAGTGTGATATAATATGACACATGACATTTTAGAGACAATTGTGTTTTCATCACTAGATCAGAATACAGATACCTGAACTTCCATAAAGTACAAAGATAAAGTTCATAGAGATATTTACTGGAAAGAGAGAGGGGACAAAATTGCATGTTTCTGCAATAAAATACAGTTCAATTCTAAGCTCTAAGGGGTCACTAATGGAAAACAGTTGGTGCACGCACGCACGCACGCACGCACGCACGCGCACACAACCTCCCTCTGCACCTTTTTATACTACTGATATCACTGATTACTTGACCTCAATACTTTCTTTTTTTTTTTTAAATTAATCAATTTATTGGGGCTCATACAATTTATCACAATACATAGATCAATTGTGTAAAGCACATCTATACATAACCTCAATACTTTCAATATGATTTGTAGAACTGTTGTTATACATTGAATTGCATGCTCTCAAAATGTGTAGGAAATCCTATCTTCCTTGCATGGGGTTACAGTCCCATGTGGGAATGAGTTGTTTTGTTATGTTAATGAGACAGGACTAGTCTCTTGAGTTCACCTCTTTTGAGATACAAAAGAGATTAAACACAAAAGCTAGCAAGCAGATGGGGGCAGAGAGATGCCAAGCCACATGAAGATGATTCAAACTAGAAGCTCTGAAGAGGCAAGCACCTTTCTCTAGGCAACAGAGAAAGAAAGCACCTTCCCTATAGGCATCTACCTGACTTTGGACTCGAACCTGACCTGTGAGAAAAGTGTCTGCTCAAGCTGACTTTTGTGACACTACAGCACTAGCTAAGTAACACAGGGGGTGAAGAATATGAAAGCCCTACATTTCCTGAGTTTGAATCGACTTACCACTTAGTAACTTAGGTAATTAATATTCACTTTTCTAAGCATGGTAGGGGTATGGGTGAGAGGAGTGTTAAGAAGAGTAATTACCTAACTGAATTTTGTAAAGATTAAAAGATACTTCCCATGTAAAGGCCTTGACATATAGACATCACTTATAAATATTTGCTGAATAATGTATAGACCCTCAACTCATGAAGTAAATACAATAAGCAATAAATTAGGCCATCGTAATGGACTGTGATGAGTTCCAGGACTGAGACAGATAGAGGGGAGCACACAGGGCACCGAGCTCAGATTAGTGGAGGCAGGACAATGTTCCTGAGGTGGTCAAAATCTAGGGTAAAACCTGAAAAATGAGGATACCAAAACCCAAACCTATAGCAACTGAGTTGATTTCAACCAGAAACGCGAGGTAGAAAGGAGATAGTCCTCCTGCAGACAGAGATCTGCAAATCACTGAAGTGAGAAGCCTCGGGGTTTTAGAGAGAAATCACAGTTTGATACGGCTGCAATGAAGAAAAGGGTGCAGAGTGATGATCAAGCTGGAGAGATAGGCAGGGCCTGGCACTCGTCAAAGCTCACAAACCAAAAAGGTTCCATTTAAACTTGAACTTCCAAGCAATGCAAGACCGGTGAACTGTTTTAAACAAGGAGCAGACATCAGCTTGGTTCTTTTACAATGATCACTGACTTCGACATAAACAAGGTGTAGGAGAGAAGTGAGGCTAGAAGCAGAAAGACCAGAGAGAAGGGACTCTTCAAACCCCCATCATAGGGGTGAATGAGTAGAAATGTGTGGGTGAAGACAAGTGGATGGATTTCAGGAATAGTTAGGATATTGATGTGGATGGTGGTAAGGAAAAGAGAGTCAAGACAACTACCCAATAAAGTATTGGGAAATATTGGGGGGGCAAAAAAATGAGTTCAGTTTTATGTAAAAGCCTATGGTTCTCATGGGGTCTCTAATCAAAATGTCCAGTAGGTCTGAACTTGCGCAAAAATTGGGAATTTCAGATTTGGATTTGAATGTGGACAAAACCCACAGTCACTGAGCGGATTCCAAGTCACAGTGACCCTACAGTGCAGAGAACTACTGCATAGGGTTTCCCAGGCTATAAATCTTTATGGACAAAAACTGCCTCATTTCTTTTTTTTGCAATTAGCAAATAAGTTATCGCTTTAAAAAAAAAATCATTTTATTGGGGGCTCTTACAACTGCCTGGTTTTTCAACCTCAGAAGAGGGGTTGGTTCAAGTTGCCAACATTTTGGTCAGCATCCCAATGTTTAACCACTGAGCCACCAAGGCTTCTTCTGAACTGTAATTTAAGACCAAATCCCATTGCCATTGAGTGAGTTCCAACTCACAGTGATCCTACATAGGGTTTCTAAGATTGTAGATCTTAGAAAGTGCAAACAAAGCTGGTGGATTTGAACCACTGCACTAGTTCTTAGCCCAACACCTAACCCCCAGTGTCACTTGGACATCTTAAAACTGTAAGTTAAGCAAACTGTTACTGTTAGGTGCTGTTGAGTCATTTTTTGACTTGTATTGACCTGATGTGATAGAGTGGAGTTGCCCATTGGATCTTCTAGGATGTAATCTTTAGAGAAGACCACCAGGTGTTTTTCCCATGGAGTGGCTGGGTAGATGCACACAGACTTTTGGTTAGTAGCTGAGCATGTAACTGCTCTATCACAGCTTAATTCAAGCAACGGAATTAGGTACACCGACCTGTCAGTTTAGGGTAGAAGTCTGAAGCACAGTATTTGGAAGATGAGCAGATAAAGAGCCCAAAGAGTAAGCTGAGAAAGAGCCAAAGAAGAAGGAATACAGGAGACTATGGCTCATGGAGAAAGTTTGAAGCAGAGATAGGCCAAAGCTTTAGAATGCAAGCAAGAAAACGTCTGAGAAAGTTCTAACATAGATGTGGAATCAAGGAGGGCTGGAAAGATTGCAGTTGTCTGAGGAGTAGATCGTTCTTTACTGCCATCAAATCGGTAAAAAGCAGGAGTAGGATAAGCAATTATTCTAATGAATATTTCATAAAGTCCTACATGCTTACATATTCAACTAGGTACAAAACACAGGAAAGCAGGGAACCTACTTTTGTAAGCAGTATTATGGTTTGAAAGGCAGTTCTGTATTCAGTTTGGGGAGAAAGCCGAAATCCAGAAATATCAACCTCAAAAAAACACCAGAAAATTAGATGTTACCATAAGAAACACATTTCTGTTTCAATCATGTTAGTCTCTCAGGCTAAAAATGATTCCTCAATCTATACTGGTAATTTCAGAATTCAAAATAAATAAGAAAAATGAGTTATCAAGCTAATGATAACTATTCTGATAAAATTATAGTCATCAATAAAATAAAAGAAACTAGTGAAGATAAAACAACGAATACTGATCTATACAATATCACATATAACTTAGTAACATCAATGAAGTAGGAAATAGATATCGTGTAATATACTATGTTAGAAATCTTAAATTGAATCTTGGCAAGTAAAGTCAAAATTTTATCTGATTCAGTAAACTTCAACAACAATGTTGACAAAATCTACTTATATTATGTGACCCCCATCTGAACCAAGCTGTCAAAATGCGTTACCTTTAAGTCTTATCACTATAAAAGTTTTCGAGGATAACAAATTTCATTGGGTTCACATTTGTGTGGGCATCCGAGTGGTATGCATCTGACTTACCACGAAGAGGAGTTGCTTAGTTCTCTCTAAGTGCTTCAGGAACTTGTGGCCCATTCCTCTGTTCAGATGCGCTCCTTCTATTAAGCCTGGAAGATCAGCTACTGATATCTAACACACAGTTAAGTAGTTTGAAGAAAAAGCAAACGTTAAAAAACACACACAAGTACAATCACACTCAAAACTTTTTTCATGATATTTCAAATATAAAACATTCCTAATTTGTGATTACCACTTCAGCTGTGAAGACGTCAAATGTTCATTTGTGGTAAAATACATGTCACATGAACCCAAATTCTTTTGTTATCAGCAATTAGAGTCCTATTTTTCCTTACTAAACTAGCAATCTAGGGATTTGGGGGCTTAGTGTAACATTTATCAAGTAATTCTCATTAGAATTTCATATACTGCTCAATATGAATTTTTCATAGAATTTCAACTTAAATTTTCTAACGCTAACCCCCAACTTAAATTCTTAAACATTTAAATTAATTTTAAATTAATAGCCAAAGAAAAATAAACTTTAATATAAATAGACTATCTTTTTCAAAGACAGAATTATAATTGAATTTTTAACTTGAACTTTAGAAAATGATTTTAGTAAATGAAAATAAATCATCAACTGTGAAAGTGCACTACATACCTACAATAAGAAGAGTCAGTCTGATCAAGGTAGTGAAGATGATATTATAGTGACAAACTGGACTTAATCTTTGGAAGCATAAGCAGTTAAATTCTTAGGTGAATATTTTACTGCACAATGCTTAGCGGAACTAATTTTACTAAGGTATTACTTATCATAGAGCAAAATCTCACTACCATCCCAACCTAAATCACGGAAATAGGAACTTTTTATGAAGTCCAAGAAATGAAATGTGAGGAGTCCCTGGGTGGCACAAGTGGTTAAGTAAGCCCTTGACTGGCAGCTGTGGTGTGAACTGTGCCGAGGCACCGCAGAAGCCAGGCCTGGTGATCTGCTGTGGAAGGTCTGTGCTATGTGCCTCTGCGGAGCGGTCCTACTCTGCACAGGTGGGGTCGCCAGGAGTAGGCATCACCTGGCAGCAACTAAAACAAAATCAACATAGGGTCCCAAACTTCTTTGGCCTACCACCCCCTTTTCAGGGAAAAAAAAAAATTACTCAGCACCCTCCTTGCAATTACCCTCTTTTGGACTCTAGCTCATAATCCAGGATAAATGTACCTGTCTGCACCCCCTGGATTGAGCACCCGTACCCTATCAGGGGCAGGGGGTGGGGGAGGGCAGGACCATTCACTTTGGGAAGCAGTGAAGAGTAAGAACAACCAAAAGCAAGGACTTGCACTTCTAACCATACACCTCACTTTCAAACACCCACCTGTTTGAAATCATGGTACATTATCTTTCCAAGTTCAGGCTTCAATGTTGTAACTAAAAAACAATGACAATAATAAATTAAGGCTAGAACAAAATCTGATACACTGGAAATTAGCATTATGCATAGAATAAATACTATGTGGGGACTTCAAAAATGGTAAGGGGAAATTCCATCCTCTTTTAATACTGTGTACTTTTTGAAGCTGCTTTTATTTCTTTATCAGTAAACAGTTTGATTTAAATTCTGCTCATATTCGGAATTCTACGATTATTTTAACATTTATCAATCACATAATACTCATTAGAGTGCCCTACATTTGTTCAAATGGAAGGTTAATCTTTGCTATTTATGATGGACTTGAGAAAAGGACAGAGAGAGATTTTAATACTCTGCAGAACATAGGTCTAATCTAGTGAGTGTCAAAGTTCCTTTACTGCCCTTCAGGAATGAGAAGCAATGAGGCAGAAATCTATTTTTCTAACACTCTAAAAGTAAGGCATGGTTGCAATAATGGTCCAAGCACAGGAATAATTGTGAGGAGGGGGCAGGACTGGCCGTGGTGTTTTCATTCTGCTGTGTGTAAGGTCAGACCCAATGGCATCGAACAACAAAGAGAGGTGGGTTCAGAATTTAAACTGGTGCCTGTGGGTGGGGTTTTCTTAGCTCCTTTCCATTCAGTCATCTTCAAGCCTCACTAATACTGGAAGTCTCTTTCCCATACTTGGCCATAGTGTCTGTAACTCCCATCAAAAGACTTTCTCCTAATGGGTCTGGGTAGGAGAAGGTGGGGCAGACACCGTTAGGATTCAGTTGAGGGCTTGTTAAATTGTGACTGCCATCCTGCTACATATAAAATAAGCCTTTGAGAAGCAAGAGCCAGGAATGGAGCTCGTCGCCCTCTGTGCAGTGAACCTTCGTGGTCGAGGAGACAGTTGTGACATCAGAGGGTTGACAGAGGTGCAGCAGCAGCAGAACTAGGAGCCACAACACGAGACAGTGGTGGACGTCCCAGTCCACAGAGCAAGTAAAGCTGAGTGCTTTAGGATAGGAGGCTGGCTTACTGGAGTGCGGTGTCTCTGGGCACTTAATTCAGGGAGCCGGGCACACTGCCCGACGATAGATTTTGAGCTGAGTGCCCCTGGGTTGAGGTTTACATAGAGTGGCACGACCTCTCGGCATTGATTAGCAGCCCTGAAAGTACTTTGTAATTTGTACAGGATGAACAACTCTATCTTCAGTATTTTCACTTGAATTGTAACCTGTTAACTCCCACAATAAACCCTCTAATGATGAGCATTGCCTATGAGTTTTGTGTGGGGATTCAATGAACGATAGAACCCAGAGAGAACGGAAGCAGAAAACAAGTAGAGAGCGCTGTGGGAGATATAACAATGTCTCTCTGTTTACTTTTCATAGCGGTCCTGTCATATTCATTCACTTCTTAGTCTAAGCTTCCATTACATCTCAGCTGCTACTGTAGTGGCCTACTAACTGGTCTTCCCAGATGCACCTATAGCACACTCCCATCAATTTTCTACTCTATAAGCAGATGTTTTTGTAAAGCAAATCAATCACTTATTCCTTGCTTAAAAGTCTCCATTACTCTAAGGTTATAATGATCAAAGACAGCCTACATGGTTTATTCATAGGTTTCCAGACTTATTTAGCCTCTCACCTCTTCTCAGAAAAAAATTACTCAGTGCCTCCTGGCAATTACAAAGTTTTGTTTTGTTTTTAAGGATATTTTTCTTTATTCAAGGAACTGCAAATAGGAAACCAGAGGAGGGCCCCAGGCCGGACAGAGAATGGCTACCCCTCCCCAACAGAACAGGAGGAGAGGGCGGCCCTGTGCCCTCCCCAGTGCCACACGCCTCCTCACTCTGCTGCAGCATCCTAGGGGCAAGCCCCCACCTCTGCCTGGACCTGGGCTGGTCAGTCACCCAGCCTGCTGGACCTGGCCCCCTTCCCCTAGAAGCTGCATCCTGGGGGAGGAGAATGACCGTTTGGCACTGTAGCAGCAGTGATGACGGATGTAGAAGAATGAAACATTGAACAGAAAACAACACAACTGTCCAGAGGTAGTTTGTGAACAGAGGGAGGATGGAACCAGACCCTTGGGGGTAGTTGGGGGCGGGGGGGCAGGAGAGGGCAAAGTGAGTTCCTTGGTATTAGGGCCCCACCTGAAGGCGGAAACTGAGGCCTAGCGTCTAAGCAGATAGGGTAGGTGTGTAGCCTGGCCCACCTAAGTGGCTGCCACTAACTGACTCATAAGCGATGCCCGGTTTAGGCACAGATACATTTTAAACGGTGTCTTTAAGAATGTGTAGGTCAGCTGGAAGAGGTGCAGATGGTTCTCAGCCTACTTTTATAAGGTGAGTTAGATGTCAGACTGTTAACTGAAATGTCGGGGATTCAAACCCACAGGCTATTTGTTCCATGTGACAAAGACGAAGCAGTTTGTGTAATCCTATGGAGCAGTTCTACTCTGTCCTATGGGGACATTAAGAGTCAGAATTGGCTAGTGGGAAATGAGTTAGTATAAGAAAAGGCTAGATGCCTTTTCAATGGTGCAGAAGCCGTGCGTGCAGAAAGTGAAGGTGATTTAGAACTTTGCTGTGAGTAGGGGGTGGTTCAACAGTTTGAGTGAGGGAAATTTTACATAACATTAAAGTAGGGTTTCACCATCAAACTGAGCCGTCAACAAGCCCACATGGAAGAACCACTCCAAAATCTGTGATCCAAGGATTGTAAATTACATAATCCAAATCCGACGGAGGGAATAGTATCAGTTTAAATTGAGAGATTCTGGTGTGCAGGCTATGGATGACAGTGGAAGCCCAAAATACATTTGCAGGATCTACACAAGGAATAAGCCTCAAGTGATTTCCCTCTAACCATAATCAAGAGATGGGAATAACTGGTTATCAGACAAAGTATTAGAGACATGACTCTGATAGATTAAAATTATAAGTCTGACATGAACTGCTAAAAACTTGTCACTTGATCTCCTTTCTGATACACTTTGGGCTTAATCTGGTTCTAAATGTTTTCTGTTTTTATTTCTTTTTTGTGTGTGTTTTCAAAATGGGGTTTATCTGGTAAATTTTTCATTGTTGGTAGCCTTCTTGACTCTCTCTGTTAAGTGTTTCTGTGTATGAAGCCCAAGATAGGCAATTCTACACAGACAACCGGAATAAGAGTTCTTGGGTACGGCAGGGGATATGGGGGGATGGATATGAGGAAGCTGCTAACAAGTTCAAGAAGGAAGACATACAGTGAACCCTCGCCACTTCACGCTTCGACTTCCGCGGCTTCATTCTATCGCGGTTTTTGCGTAACAGCGCATGCTCTGTCAGTACTGCCACTGATTGGCTCATACTGTACACGCTTCTGTCTGCATCGCTACGTATCAGAGCTACGTATCAGATGCATTTTTGCTTTTGTACAGTGT